ATATATATATATATATATATATATATATATATATATATATATATATATATATATATATGTATATATATTATATTATATATATATATATATATATATATATATATATATATATATATATATATATATATATATATATATATATATATATGTATGTATGTAATGTATACATATATATATATATATATATATATATATATATATATATATATAATATATATATATATATATATATATGTGTGTGTGTGTGTGTGTGTGTGTGTGTGTGTGTGTGTGTGTGTGTGTGTGTGTGTGTGTGTGTGTGTGTGTGTGTGTGTGTGTGTGTGTATGTATGTATATATATATTATATATATATATATATATATATATATATATATATATTATATATATATATATATACATATGTGTGTTTGTGTGTGTGTGTGTGTGTGTGTGTGTGTGTTGTGTGTGTGTTTTGTGTGCGTGTATGTATGTATGTATATAAATATATATAAATAAATAAAATAATATATATATATATATATATATATATATATATATATATATATATATATGATACATAATGTACATATATATGCATATATATCTATCTATCTATCTATCTATCTATCTATCTATCTATCTATCTATCTATCTATCTATATCTATATATATACATATATATACATATATATATGTATATATATATATATATATATATATATATATATATATATATATATATAAATCAACTCATAAACAAGTTTTTTAAAAAGTATGATGATTTATTTCAAATTACTGAAACAAAATTTTCTTGAATTGATATCTCGTTTATGAAATCAGGTCGGAAGGCAAAGAAACCCACACAAAAGCACAAGCATCACTTCCTTTCCTGTTTTCTAGATGAATTAAATGCAATTTTTCGGTGGTAATTTTGTACAGAGAGCTTGTTATACGTCTATACATACAATGATATCATAACGTAACAGACAAAGCTTGTGAGTAATATGAATGGTTGAACATTAAATGGAAATATTAAAAGAGCATCGTATTTTGAAAACAAAATAATATAACAATGTACTGTAGTTTTAACGGTATGTCATTGCACCAGTCTGTTACTGTAGAAATCAATTAATGCGGATTACTATTGATAATGGTGCGTTTTTGCTAGCAAATCTTCACATTCACCTAAGCAAATCGGTTTTATGCTTGATGCGTAGTTTAATCATATACGAGTTAACAGTTTTACGACATTCGTTAGTTGTACGAAGTATTATAAAAGTTATTTAGGAAATGAACAACATTGAATCTCTGTAGTCTCATAAATAACAGTGGTGTGTTATCAGCTTGAATGCAAATCCGTTTTTATTGCGTAAATTCACAATGAAAACTTTCCTCATTGACTCTACGTATCATATAAAAAGGTCATCATGATACCGTGTGGTGACAGTGACCGCCGTTAACCACACAACATCCAGCCTGTAGGGACGTTGTGGCTCGTCTGCGGTTAGTGAAAACAGGACGGTTTAGGATCGAGTCTGGAAGGACTCCGGTGTCAACATGCGAAAGCGTGAGTTGAGAGATCCGGATTCAGACGATAGAGAACAATGTTTTGAAGCTGACTTGAGGTTACGGGCGTGGAGCGATTGAAGTGGAGTATGTGGTATCGGTATGACTTCGTGCGTCTGCTTCTATATGTGTCTATGTACATCTGTATGTGCGTGCGCATCTAAGTCTGTTTTTGTATTTATGCAATGTGTTTTGTGTGTAAACACCTGTTGAAATGCAGAATCAGCCAGTCTTGAAGAAATCCAACCGCAATGACTTGTTCTTCGTGCTGCAAAAAGAGCATAACAGTTAACGTAATATATGAGCACGGACTGACATAAGAGGACGAACCTGAGACAGAAGTGAGATGGCACAGTTCCATTCCTTGCTATCAGTCAGCACGAGAACATTCGAAGAACAGTGCTTTCAGCTTATGAGATAATGTTTCCAGCAACTGTATGCAGGTATAATTCGTTCCAAAGAAAACTTCATTTAATATATTCCCTATTTTTTGGTAAACTTGCTCTATACAGAGATATGATACCCCATGTGTTAAAAAAGAGTATATCTAGGAGCGTACAACTAGGTTGCCACGTATTCACGATGGAGGATTTCTCAGACTCACAATAATACAGCATATGATGAGATGAGTAAAAATTTAGAAGCTATTGATACTTCCAAATATATTTACTTAACATATGATAAATAAGAACAGAAAGAAAAGTATATTTCAGTGAGATGTGTGAAGGCCATCTTCACCTGGGCATTACACAGTATGACCTAGCCTTTGTTTTAAGGTATTCAGAGCTGTCTCATCTGATCATAGCTGAAAACCGAGATGGGTCCCAGAACTGCCCCAAGGCTTTCCGAACCTCCACATCTATACCACTCCACATTAGAAACAAGCATATATAACACAACGAAGTTTAATCTAAATAGCTTCTATTATGCGAATCATTGAATTCAATATAAAACAAAAAACCATTCCTCTCTCTCTTCAATAACACTTCTCCTCCAATAACTTCTCTCATCTCCCTTTCTCTCCCTCTCAACTCATCTCTTTCTCTCCTCCTCTCAACTTCTCTTCTCTTCTCTCCTCCTCTCTCTCTCTTCTCCCTCTCCCAATCCTCTCCTTTCTCCCTCTCCCTCCCTCTCCTCTCCCTCTCCCTCTACCTCTCCCCTCTCCCTTCTCCCTCTCCCCTCTCCCTTCTCCCTCCCCTCCCCTCTTCCCTCTCTCCCCTCTCCCCTCTCCCTCTCACTATCTCATCTCTTTCTCTCTCTCTCTCTGTCTCTCCCACCTCTCTCGCTCACTCCCTCTCTCCATTATAATATCTCTCCTCTTTTCACTTTCTCCTCTCTCTCTCCTCCTTCTCTCTCTCTCTCTCTCTCTCTCTCTCTCAATCATCTCTCTCCTCTCTACTCTCTCTCTCTCTCTCTTCCTCTCTCTCTCTCCCTCTTCTCTCTCTCGCTCCCGTGTCCGTTTTCGCGCCATGCTCGAATAAGACCACATGTATCGCAGACGTGGGTGGGTTCAGCGCCGTGACCTGCGGGGATCCCACAGATTGACGCCTGAAAGTTGTTTATTTTTGTGAGGAATTCTTCCCGCCTGTTTGGGCTTCCCTCTCCCGGCAATATGCGTACCATGCCACAAAAGGTTTCGGCTTCCTCTACCACCTTACCACCTGTCTCCGGCCATGCTACAACCGCACTTAATGGTCAGGTGATCTCATGCCATGGATTGCTTAATAGATAGCCAGAAGAATGGATAGGTAGATTTCATGAAGACACTTTTAACTAATTCACAAATGATATTGGCTGATAGTCCTTACGAACAAACATAATATCCTTATAGCTTACATCTAGACTCAACAAAGCTATATATGAATTACGATTCGCTACCCTCTATGTATATATCCTCATATCTTTGCGCATTATACACACACATATTCACACACTACACTGTTTCTCCTCTCATACTTAATTACTCCTATTTCTTATCTATTTACCTTACCTTATATATATTTATTTTATCCTACTATTTATTATCCACTCCTCCTCCTCTATTAATACTAATATATATTATTATTTTA